CTTACAATGTGAACTGTGTTCTGGTGTTATATATTCTTTTTTATTTCTTTTTACCACATTTTTCCTCTTGTAGGGTGGTGGTGATCTACTTTGTGTGTTACGTAAGTTACTCAACAAGTTGTTTATATTAAAACTTTAGGAGCCTTATAACAGACTTCCACCTCCATCTCAAACCCATCCCAGCCTGGATGAGCTTCATCGCCGAAGGAAGGAAATCATGGCCCAGTTAGAAGAAAGGAAGGTGATCTCCCCACCTCCCTTTGCACCATCACCAACTTTGACTCACCCCTTCCACCCAGAGGAGGTAAGCATATTTTTAACCAAGCTTTTGGGTTGCTGATATGGTCATAAATTAGTTTAGGGGTGTGATGGGTTCCCCCCAGGGGTGCCTCCTGGAACTGGGGTACCACTGAGCCCGCCTAGGCTTTCTTTACACTGTACTGCTTTGACAGGCCCTCAAGCCCCCTCCAGTGCACATACAGATAGGGACACACGCAGCTGCAGCTACACACATGCTGAGATCAGCTTTGCATGGGAAGGCTCAGCTAAGGCTCCTCCCAGTTCCTAAGGCATGCACCCACTCCAACTGCACAGCGTAAGCTCATGAAATTTGCCCCCTCCCTCAATGTTGAGGAAAATATGCAACAGCTTTCTGCCCCCAGTTATGATTTCCAGGTACTGGTTTTAGACAAAACAAAAACAAATTTATTAACTACAAAAGATAGACCTTAAGTGATTTGTAAGGGATAGCAAACCGATCAAAGCAGATTGTTTTTGTTTATTTGCTGGGTAATCTAAGCTTAATATATTAAAGAGATTGGATATGAGCAGCAAATTGTCACCCTAATTGTTGTTTTAGGCAGTTTGCAGAGATTCTTGAGGGCAAGCTGCATTTGCTTGCAGCTTAAAACCCCAGATATTCCTTTCACAGGCTAGAAATTCCTCAAGCCTGGGTTCAGCCCTTCTCCCCTCATGCAGTCTTTGTTCCTCCAGTGTTTCCTGCAATCTTCTTGAGCAGGGAGTCAGTGAAGAACCATGATGATGCCTTAAATATCGTTTGCATATGGCAGGAACGCTTTGTCTCCCCTTTTGGTTTCCAAGCCCGGTCAGTGGAAAAACACTGGTATTCCAAGATGGAGTCCAATACAAAGTGACTTGATCTCATGCCTCTGTAGGGACACAGTAGCCATGACTCGAAGGATGTTTGTAGCATCCTCAGGAAGGCTCTGGGTGGGAGATTAGCCTCCTCTAAGACCTATTGTTCTCCCTAATGGCCCTTCCCTACCAGCCATCTAGACTGAGTGCATTCTGCCTAGTGGTTGTTCTCCAGGTGTAAACGCATTTGTAATAGATGCACAGACAATATTCCTAACTTCAGATACCAATAAGATACATGCATACAAGTAGGATAATCATATTCAGTAAATCATAACCTTTTCAATGATATCTCATATGACCCATCTTGCATAAAATGCATCAGCTATGCCATAACCATATCTCAATAATATTACTATGAATAATATGGGGTGTAATGCCACAAGGAATATGCAGTGTTAAGAAGTGAGTTTCTTTCACTGATCATAAACCTTCTGAAAGGCTAAGATGAGCCTATAGGATAAGAAAGGGTCGATTAACAAGTTAGCACAGTACTGAACAATAATAAATCTCCTAGGATCTTATATTAAACATTTTAGGGAGACCTTTGTGCTCCGGTTATGGAGGTCCATATGGTGACATCTGAGGAAGACAGTTCGTGGTTCTCCATGAGACCTCTGATCTATCAGTGGTCCTTAGTTATCTATTTATGCAGCCCTGAGAGTGATCTTGCTGCTTTAATGTGTGGAGGCACTATTAGATTGTTTTGAATGTCTCTGTTAATGACCGGAATACCATTGCTAGGCTTGGCTTTATTTACACCTGATATGGATAGAATTAAGTAATAAGGCAAGTCTTCAACTAGATCAAGGTCAAAATGTTACCTCTTCTTGCTGTGCACTGAACATTTAATACTGGGAGTCCAGCCAAGTGATTGGAATTTCACAAATAATATGAAATATAAGTTTGCAGCTTCCTATAGTACATCTGGTTGAAGTCCCGCCAGCATCTTGATTGAAGTGAACTGTGTCACAGGAGTCAACAATGCCTGCGATACGCCTCCTGCCTTTTACTTACAGAACCAGGTTTTTGTTTTTGTACAGTACTCGGATGAAGACCTGAAGGTAGCTGGGAAATACAAAGGAAATGATTATAGCCAGTACTCTCCTTGGTCGTGTGACACCATTGGCTCCTACATTGGAACCAAAGATGCAAAACCCAAAGATGTTGTGGCAGCAGGGAGTGTAGAGATGGCGGTAAGTTGGGATGCAAGAATGCAAAAAAAGTTAAATTGTGAGGGACCTCCTTTATTTATTAGCTAGACTGACTGCAGCATGTGCCTCTTTTTCAGACCAAATGTATCTGACAGTCGGGTATAGTTTTACAGTTGCAGCAAAATGCTCTGTTTTCAAAATGAGAAATTGTTCCAAAGCCACAATATCATTTCTATTTATCTGTTTGTTCTCTCGGTTCTGGGTATAAGTATAAACTAATAGCTCCTACCCGACTTGAAGCCACTGAATGAGCGAAATACTATGATGTTATGTCATCAGTTTCTCAACACTAATTTGGAGTCCAGAAATTATTTGTAGTGAGTCCTAATTAGTTGGAGCTGCTCACCTTTTGTTTCCTTCACTGAGATGGAAGAAGACCGGAGGTTTTAAAAACATTCTGGGTGCTTTTATGGTCATGGTACAAGTTAACACTGTTTAGTTGATTTTTTGCTTTATGGGTTAGCTCAGTGACAGTCTTTTTGGGGGTTCAGGACCAAGAGAACACTCCAAATATTTCTCCGAAGTGCTGCAAATGTAACATGATACCGCAGTATGGTACTGTCCTGAGTGCCTTTCAGCATTTTTCTGATTCCTCTCTCTTACACACAATCCAAAGCTGCTATTGACTGGAATTGCTCTGCTTTAAAGGATATGAGAATTCTTAAATTAATTAAAAACATAATTCCTGTTCCCCTGCACGAGTACTAACTGGCCCAAATAGGCATGCCTCAGTGGTGCTATATTTCTGCAGGACTGATTTTGCCAGGAAGATGCCTGCTGGGGTATCACATTTATTGGGAGCCAGTGATTGCAAGGGAAGAAGAATAAGGCATGGATCTTGCAATAACACCACATTTCCACATGACCCCTAGTTAGAAAAACATTGAGAAAGTGCTGAAATTTGTCCTTAGTAAACTTGAAGCAGTCACACACAACCTTAACATGTTTGCTTTTTTGAAAAATGTATATGTGTAACTCATCTTCATTGTGACTGTCTGTAAATGAAGCAGAAGCCAGTTCTCTTTTTTTGAGAGGGGGTGGAGGAGGTGGAAGAATGTTCTTTATGAAGAATTCCCCTGTTCCCTCCCCTTTATTGTATATCCCACCTCATTTCTTCACTGTCCTATGTCGTGGTGACCTGTCTTAGGACAAAGACAACTGGATGAAACTACTTTTCAGAACTCATCATTCTGTGATATGCTGCTACCAGTATGAATGAGTTCTTATCTGTCATCTGGCTACCACCTGTCTGTCTGACAGGATTTTCTGACCAGCTCTTCCTCCTCCTCTGCATTCAGGCAAGTTTCCCCAGTTGTTCTCCTGCCTTACTGGAAGCAGCTGCACTTGGTGCTTCACTGCTGAGTTGCCCTCCATCTTTCTCACCTCAGTGGAGCTATGTGGATCGGGGAAGGCAAAATTGGTTTACTCCCAAAAAAAGAAGGGTGAGAAGCATTATAAATGCCTTTCCCCTACAGCTTTGGGTAGCTGGTCCATTTTGTTTGTCCTGCACATTCTCACCATGCAGAATTGCCACTGCTAGGTCTGGGAAGTGGCAGGAGGTATTCTAAATGAAGCAATTCTTTCTACTTCAACAGCCCTCTATGGACTTGGGAGCTGTCCTGCAGGTCCTCCTAAGTTTCTCCCCTGCTTCCCTCCACCACCCAGAAAGACCAGGTCACAGATGGGGGCTGACAAGATATCTTCCACCTTCAGTGTGTCATCCAGTCTCATGGGTGGGAGGGAGGGAATTGCTTTTCGTCACCACAAAGGAAATTCCTCCATCTGAGCCATATACTGAATAAATAAATAGGGCCTTTGCTGCCTCGCTGCTTTCACCCTTCCACTGAAAAAGCTTGGCAAGAATCTCATCATTGGGATCAGGTGACCTCCTGAACCCCTTTTTCTGTTGTCCATTCAAGAGACTTCTTTCCTAGGGGCAGGAAAAGCCTCATCCTTCTCTTCTCTCATAGTCTCTCAGAGAGTGAGCTAGAATCAGATCTGAACCATCTTCCTGTACTAAGATCCTTTTTCCTTCCTGGAAAACCATAGTAGGGTCACGCCAGAGGAGTGGGGTTACTTGGTCACTCATGTAATGAAACCTTTATCTCTTTAGAACAGAAATCCTACAGGGATTGAGGGTGGGGGGGCGCTAATATTTCCCTCCCAAGGGCAGCCTTGACTTTCAGGACTTGTAGCTACTCCACCCAAAGGTGAACTTAAAATTTCCCATTCTGAGTCCAGAGACCTGCCTGAGGACACAATGTCGTGTTTTGACACCTGGATAGGAAGGTGAAAAGTGCTGTTAAACAGCTCTTTAGAGTGGGTGCTACTCAAATTACTACTGTAGTTTGTGCCTCATAAACCTCAAGGGCAGCCATCCTGTGCCTCCCAAAGATACCAGGGGACAAAGCAGTTGCCTCCAAACATCCCTCCTTGTTAGGTAGGACATCTCTAAGTGACTTCTTTTTAATTCTCTGAATGGCATGATTCAAGGTTCTGTGCATTTAGGGGCGAGCCTGGCTACTCCCTCCCTGCATCGGTTCCTGGGGCAGCTTACCTTTGTTTCCTCGCCACCACTTCAATGGAATTTGGAGAGGCCGTTAATTGATGGGGGCTTCAGCTGCCAAGTTCCAGAAGGGTTGCCTTTGAGATTTGGAAGGAGGACCACTCACTCCAGTAGGCTGTATCTTCTCTCCTCCTCACTCTTGTCCCCCACGATTCTCCCTTTTTGTCATAGTAACCATCCTCCATCTTAGTTTCTTTGTAGATCTTCCTTATCTAGGTGTGGTCATTGCTTGTTCTGAGTTCTGACTTGAAAAAAACAGGAAGCCTGTCTGGATGCTGAGAGGAAGGAACCAGGTGCAAAAATCCCATAATGGATAAGCTACCACCTGACAGATACCCTGAGCAAGACTTGTCCATACTGGTGTTGGCACATTCTGGAAGACAAGCAGCAAGGAAAGAGACACTTCATATATTCTGTTACTGCTGTGTCAACTTTATTTTTCTTTACCTCTTGTCCAGAACATAGATAGTAAAGGCATGCGTGACCAGCGGTTGGACTTACAGAGAAGGGCAGCAGAAGCTGGGGACGATGACCTCATCCCATTTGGTGACCGGCCAACTGTGTCAAGGTTTGGGGCCATCTCTCGTACTTCCAAAGCGATGTACCAGAGTTCTGGCCCCATGCAGGCCATGGCGGTACAGGGAGCTTCCACCAAATCTATCAACATTTCAGGTATAACTGCTACACGTGGTTATTTTTCTTTTAGCATAGTTTTATTTTTAGTGTGGTAGTATAGTGCGGGTAAAAAATGCCGTAGGAAATATTTTGTCAGAATCTTCAATGGTACCTGATGTTACCAGGTTCTGATTAATAAATTATGGATGGAAATGCCAGTTGGTCTTGTGTTTCAGTGAGGAAGCCTCCTCCACCTGTTTTTCCTACAAGGGTTACTGTACTTGCAGGGAGCTGGGGAATGATGATGATTTTTTTACCATCTGAAAGTATGCTGTATATGAGAGAGTTCAGGCATAGCATTCCTATGGAAAAAGCATTTTGGCGATTAAACTAATCTTTCTTCCCAGCTATTACGGATATTCTTTGCAACCTATATACCAGTCTATTGGATTATATATGGGATAGTTCTGTAACTCAAAGCATTGTAACATGGCATGTGTTATCTGGGTAACTCCTTCTGTTCTTTTGCAGATTACAGTCCGTATGGAACTCATGGCGGCTGGGGAGCTTCTCCATATTCACCCCACCAAAACATACCTTCTCAGGGACGCTTCAGTGACAGGTGGGAATGTCTATCTCAGGCACATGCTCACTCTTTTTGTCTGTACTTATTCTGTTTATAGTAGTTTCTTCATTACCAAACTTAGTAAAGCTATTTTCTTTCCAATCCCTTTCCTGCCCCTCAAAGGGAGAGATTGTCCATGTCAGATGTGGCCAGTCATGGGAAACCCTTGCCGTCAGCTGAGAGGGACCAGCAGCTCAGGCTGGAACTGCAGCAACTAAACCATCAGATCAGCCAGCAGACGCAGTTACGAGGACTGGAGGTTGGTACCTGTGCCTTGGAAGGGGTATGAGAGAGCAGGAGAGAGATGGAGTTAGCAGGTTTGCTCATATTGAACGTAGTATGAAAATTGAAATCCATGATACCTGACATCAGGACTTCCCAGCACTTCAGCACAAAGGAAAAACCCTTGACTATTTAGCAGCAGGAACTGAGGACTTGCTTGCTCTTAAATGTATTTTTTTAAAATTAATTTGTAGTCTAAAGATAGCATACCATGTGTGTGTTCATGTCTGCTTACTTTTTCTCTCTCGTGGTCTTTTCTGGGCCCAATAATCTGTAGGCAAATAAAGCTCTTGGCTTTTCAGATTTTGAGTTAATCAGACTCTACCTGTAGAAAGTTTAAACCCTTTTGTGTGGTGTTTGGCTTTGTGCTGTAGCCCTTTTCTTCCTAAACAGCACAAGCCACAAAACTGAACAAAATAGATGTTAAAGTTTTTTAACTTTAAAAATAAAAGCTCAACTTTGAAGTCTACTTAAAATTAGTATAATTTTTGCACAGAGGGATGGTATGGGAAGTTTATATTTGTAAAAGGAACAATGAGCAGTATGTATAGCTTTACTTCATTTTATGGGACCTTGTGGTAGGAGGGAGTTGTAAAACAAAATTAAGGAATTCTTGCTGTAGGAAAGCTTAGTTACTGTACTATTGACCTTTCCTGGAAGGGAAAGCCTTATCTTCCTACAGAAAGCCATGGAGAACTACTCTAAGGCCTTGGCTACACTTGCAAGTTACAGTGCTGTAAAGCCTTCCCCAGCGCTGTAACTCACTCCCTGTCCACACTGGCAGGGCACTTACAGCGCTGTATCTCCCTGGGTACACCGCTGCAGGTACTCCACATCTCCGAGAGGAACAACAACTGCAGCAGAGTGGCTACGCCTCGCGGGTGTGAGTGTAAACGCTTGCAGCGCTGTACTAATCACCTTGTCAAGTGGCCAATCCTCTCCATTGTTGTGACCGGCTGTAGGAATGCGGAAGTGCCGGTTTCAAAGCTCGTACCACAGAGAAAAGCAAACAGTTTGCAGCTTGCTTTGAGTGAGTAAATGAATGAGCAGGGGGCCGGGAGTTTGGAACTTGCAAAATAGAGAGCTGACATGCTCCAAAAAGCACACTCTCTCCCCCCACGCTCCCTGTCACAATCCACCCCACCCCTGTTTTGAAAAGCACGTTGCAGCCACATAAATCCTGGGATAGCTGCCCATAATGCACCGCTCCCAACACAGCTGCAAATGTTGCAAGTGCGCTGGCAGTGTCAGTGTAGACAAACTGCAGCGCTTTTCCCTATTCAGTTGTGCAAAGACAGGTTTACCTCACAGTGCTGTACAGCTGCAAGTGTAGCCAAGGCCTAAGGCACCTCTCCTCTAGTCAGATTGAGATTTCTCTCAGCAAAGATCATTGTTTAAAAAGTCTTTGCTCTAGTAAGAGCTTGGTTCCTAAAGCAGGAGTTCTCATTGTGCATTTATTAGGTGTTAATGGCACTCACAATGTCTGAGTGGCAATGACCCTTTCAAGAAGCACACATTTCCCAGTTACTTGAAAAGTGACTTGTTTGTGTTCTTGTGCTCTTATTCAGGAACAAGAGGAAAATTGTATTTAAATGGTGCATGCTTGCCTTTGCTGGTACCTTAATGGAGGAGTGTTGGAAAGTTTCAAAATCTGTACCTGGCTTCTCTCCCCCAAGTACCACTATAATTGATCTTGATTGTCTTACATCCTAAATGGTTAGATGTTGAACATTAACTATAAGTTTAAAACCTTGAGAGCAAAGCTGCTGTTCAGGTCACAGGAGCTTTAGCTGTCATGTTTGTTTTTAAATGCAACTAGTTATTTATAATCCAGGAGGCATTTCCCATTTAAGTACTAGATGGGTAGGTCAAAGCTTTGGGTATAAACCAGCCTTGGCCGTGTACATTTTACTGTAATGGATAAGTGTCTGTGCTAACTGTAGACCAGTAATCGGTGATTACTATAAGGAAGGACGGCCTTGCAGTTAAAGTACAGAACTGAGACTCAGTCTTGTGCTCTGCTTTTTGGGTTTCCCATTTAATCACGTGTGACCTTGAGCAAGTCCCTTGATCTCTCTGTGCTTCATCGTTGCTCCACACTTCCTCACATGGGTTGGGGAAGAACTGTTCATTGCCTGTACTTACATAGCACCTCCAATCTTAGAATCTTCAAACAGTGTTATAAAAGTAGTAATATTGTAACTACATTTAGTTATATTGTAGGGATTTAGTGATCTCTACTGTAGCAAACCCCTTTGCTTCTTATTCCAAGGACATGGGTTTGCTTATCCTTCAGGAATTTTTGTTGAGCAAACAGTTCACAAAAGAACATTTACACATGGGAATGTATTATGGCTTCATTTGCAAATGAAAAATAAAAATCAGGGCACAACAACCCTTACTAGGATTAATAATTTGTCACAATATTAAAATAACTGCATGTTAAATACTGACATCTTTTTTTAAAAAACAACGCAAAAAAAAGACCTTTAACTGGATGTGAGAGAGACGCCTTGAAATATTGTTGGAAGTGCTTTCAAAGTCAAGACATTATAACCCATGTAAGGGGAGGGAAGGCTTGGGTTTTGCAACTAGGCAACACTCCAGAATTACAGCCTGGTCCAACTCTGCGCATGGTTTGTTGTGTGCTCAGTTGTGTATGTGCTTGGCTTTATGCATTTAGGCTGTTAATAACAGGCTGCTGTTGCAGAGGGAGGCGACCACCCTGGCAGGCCAGCCACAGCCGCCACCTCATAAATGGCCTGCAATGATCTCAAGTGAACAGCTGAGTATGGAACTGCACCAGGTGGAAAGGGAAATCGGGAAGAGAACCCGTGAGCTGAGCATGGTGAGTGCTGTGGGTGTGGGACATGGCAAGGTGGAATGTAGAGCTGCTTGGTTGGCTGCAGCACATTAACCCTTGCCAGTAAGGCTCTCTGCTGGAGGACTGCTACCAGTGTTAGTCATTTCCCTGTCACCATTTTATTAGTCAAAACCTCTAGGTTAGTAGTAGTTTGTGTCCAGGATTTGAATTCTAATGTGCTTAAAGTATTCAACTTCATTTTTGTAGCCTTTTGAAAACAAAAGTAGGATTAATTTTGTAATTGGGCAGCTAACTACAAACTTAGTATCAAATTGCTGTCCCAGTCTTCCTTTGGTTATAAATGTAGCCTTTCAGCTGACAACACATACTGTGGTGTAACATGCATAAGAATTTTGCCATTCCGTTCAGGAGAGGGCCAGTGTTCAGTACTCAGCCTGTGGTGTTAAAGTTCTTTGTCTTTGCTTCACAATGTACGAATCATTCCTGTCTTTTGGGAAATTCTGTATCCTGCGTGGATGGACAGATCCTTCTGAATCTGTATTTTCTGGTCTCTTGGCTTTTGCGCGGTGCTTTGTGCAAGATTTACAGGCATTCTCTTCTGTTCCCATGGAATGAAGCCACAGAATTTCTATAATGTGAAACAATATTTTCTATCCTCTTCTTTCAAAGGAGACCCAGTCTTCACTGGACATGAAAAGCAACCTGGGCACCAATAAACAGACAGAAAATGGACAACTAGAACCACAAAGCAAGGTTCCAGCTGAGGACCTCACACTGACATTCAGGTAACAGGAGTTTCCATTGGTTCTTAGAGGATAAGTTAGTCAGGGCTGTCTCTTTGGAATACAAAGAGTGTCAGATACCTGTTTCTTTTGTATCATTTTTATATTGAGTATACATTAGTGAAGAATGGAATTATTCAATGTATAGTATTACCATCTATTTGGGGTGATTTCAGCCAAGTGGAGGAATGAAATGAAGGTGTGTGTGTGTGTGTGTGTGTGTGTGAGAATTGTTAACTAGTCCCACATGAAACAAATTATTCTATTCTGGTTTTAATAGCAGGAATATTTTGGGGGCATTAACTGTGAAATGGGGATGTTTATGAAGATACTGAAAATAGGGTAAAATTCTGCTTTTGCACCTGCACGAAGCTTCCAATGGTGATTGATCTGTGTGTGTCTTGAACTAGGACTGCATCTACACTATAAACAAAAAGCATTGCAATATGCTGTTGGCTGAAATGTTACAGGTCTGCACATCAGCCATCTCAGGAGTTTTACAAGCATTGGTTACAACAGTAGTAAGGTCATTACTTCAGATGTAGTTGAATTAGAAAAGACGACAGTGGCTTCTCTCCGCTGTGAACAGAAGGGCACAAGCTTTGCAGTTGTCAGTAAAACTAGTCTGTATAATTTCAGTTAGATAATTTAACTATTGATATTAGCTCAGTGGTTGGAAATCAGTGAAGATTTTTAGTTAGCTTCGTGGTCTAGTTAAACACCAGCTATTACAGATTCCTGAATTTTTTTGCTCATCGGGTAAGCAGAGGGACAGCGCTGAATCTGTGATGTAATGGTGCTGTATTCACACTCTGGTTGAGGTACCATGAATTAAATTCAATGATTAATTTAAAAGTAGCCAAACCTCTTGTAGTTTAGCCAGTTAAAATATAAAATGAAGATTTCTTCACAATTTTTTTTTTTAGTAGAGTCCTCACTTTCCCCTTTCTCAGCCCTGCACAATCTGCCCTAGTCTACGTCATGAAACAGAAGTCACTAGAGGGAAGTATTAGTACAATGGCAATTTCCATCTCCGCTATGGAAATAATTAAACAGCCACAAGTATCTCGAAAAACTGTTCTGGAAATTATTTTTGGGGGGGAGGAGGGGAGAGGCTACATTAAATACTATGTTTATGCAATGTATAATTTGAGTGGTAGTTAGTATCATTTTATGAAATGCATATAGAATTATCAAGTGCTGTTAAAGAAACTGTACAGTTTTTTCCTTTATTGTGGTGGTTGTTTTCCTCTATCCTTAATGTATATTTTTTCTGATCTGGTGAGTATTTGTGAAAAGTAAATAGATTCATTGTACAAGGCAAGCTTGTGCCTATCTCGTGAAATAGTCACAGATGGTCATTGTGACACTGCAGCAACAATAGTCAGAGCCTTGTACAGTTTTTTAAAATCTGTTTATCCTCCTTTTCTCCTTCTGCATCCCTCCTTCCACAGTGATGTTCCAAATGGATCAGTCTTGACACAAGAGAACATCAGCCTCCTGTCAAACAAGACCACATCTCTGAACCTGTCAGAGGACCCAGAGGGGGGAGGAGACCATCAGGACTCCCAGAGAACAGGAGTTGCACCCACCTCTTCTCCATGAAGTGAGGAAAGCATCCCCCCAGAGTTTCTATTGGGGAGAAGGAGTTGGTAGCTTCCATCACACTTCCCTCTAAAGGTAGTCAGAGAAATGCAGGAGCAGCAGCAGCAGGAGGTCCGGAGGCAATGTGCACAAACACCACTACTAGAAACAAACCCTGCACATAGTTCACATTAATGCGTTTTTTAATTAAAAAAAATTAGCAGTATCTGCAAGCAATTCAGATTAAATTTGTTTTTGTTCTGTGAATGAACTTTATTTTAATAACTTCGGACGCCTTGGATCCAGGGCTTTAAAAAAAAGATATTATATATATATACTCTGTTTGATTAATTGTATGATCTTAATGAAGTAGGTTTTTTTCTTTTACTTTGGTATTATTACATACCCAGTGTATAATTCCTTACCACCTCCACTCCCTTTCACCTCAGAACAACGTCAGCCGCCTCCTTGTATGAATTTAAAGGTGAATGAGGGATGTAGGATGGAGGGAGGCTATTAATTGCAGTGTCAGAAAACATGCAGCAAACATCAGTAGGTTTTTAAAATGAATTTCTTGTAACTAGGAGTTCTCTTCAACGCCTACAATACCTTTCTACTTATACCCATTGACTTTTAGCCACAGTTGATGCAATCGTCTCAGCTCAGTGAAAGCATTCCATAATATCCATCCCACTGCAGCATGTATCCCCACGGCTATTATTTAAGCAGTAGCAAAGAGAGTGGTGTATGCACATTACATTTATTTAACTAGGAACTGATATGACATTGTATTTTGTGGTTGGGATTAGAGTTCAGCAAAGGACAGAGGGCCTCAACTAGTTGAGACCTGTATGTTTCAGACTTCCAGGAGAAATTGAAGAAGTTAGTTGTCCGGCGCCTGAGCTGCTTGGCCAACCAGCAGTTGTCACTGAGCAACATGACAGAGGCACCAAAAAGTTTCCATCCCTTGCAATAGGAAGGTAAAAAAAAGAGTGAGAACACAGATTTTAAGGAAGGAAAATAACTGAGAACTAGCTTGCAAAGACCCTTTTTCATCAGCCACTATTTAGAAAGATGGAAGTTTCCTTTGTTAGGGCATAGGAAGATAGTCTTTTATAAAGGGTCTCTTTTTGTAGCCCAGCCTCTTCCAATCATGATAGCATCTAGGGTTGCTTCAGAAAGGGCATGGACTACCTGTTATGAACCCGATCCAAAGCCCACTGAAATCAGTCGGTAAAGACACTTCCATTGACTTCTGTGAGCTTTGGAACAGGCCTTCCATTTGTGTGGTGTTTTTGTTGTTGTTGTTGTTGTGTTTTAAACTATTTCAATTATAGCTTTTTTGCCCTTACTGCTAATTACTGAGCTGCTTGTGTATAAATACAAGTCGTCTACTTTTATAATCTGCCACCTCTGGCCTACAATTTATTTGTTTGTGGTGTCAGTGAAGGCTTCTCATGGGAAGAGGAAGAGAATTTTTGTTTACATGCACAAAACTTGGCAATTAGCAAAAGTAGAGGAGGGCAAGTGTAGAAGTAATAGTAATGCTCGGTACGATCCGTGCATACCAGAATTGGACAGCAAAGACTGGAAATCCAGCTGCTGCTCTTTAGCTTGGTCTGCCATTGCTGCATGGAATCCTTTCAGAAGCCAGCATTTCTTCTCTGTTGGAGAAAAGTTACATCCAGAAATGCCACTTCGGGTCCAACAGCGATCCTGCCAGAAGCATTTGGAATACTTGAAAGCCAGGATTTTTTTGTGACCTATGTCATTTGCTCAGTCTCCCAATGGAGGTGGGTAGGTGGAGATGACACCTGAATGGAAGCGGGTTTAAGAAGTCACAAGCCTTTCAGTTCTGTGTGGTATCATTCCACTGAGAAGTTCCTCTTAACAGGCACAGAAATCTTTGAGGATTTGCTCTTGCTGCATGTATTTTGACCCTTTCTGCCTGCACTGAACTGAGCCCCTCTGAATAGAAAACTCAGTGGAGAAGAGTGTGTTCAGTGTTGCTCCCTCCATGCCCGTGTGGCCTGCCTTTTGTTTTTCTTTCTGGATTAGACTACTAAATCAGAAAGCACTGGTTATGTAATAAATTTATTGCATTGCTTTGGTTGGGTAAAAGCAAGAGTTAATACTTTTCTTGTTTAGTTGTTTCTTAACCCTTAACTCCTGCTGAGGTCATAGGAACCTTGGACTAAGCTTTGCATCCATTATACTGTTAATTTAAACAAAATGGGGGAGGGGGTAGATACAGTCCCACTATTGCCTACCAGTAGAGTGTCCAAACAGAAGACTCTTTTGAGTAGCGATTATTTAATTTGCCCAGTCAAGGCACCGCATTTATATACTATTTCACATTGAATTTGATTATGCCCTACAGACCTGGCTGGTCAAGGATTTGATACACATATTGGCTTGGGATTCGAGCTTTCTTTTTTATTTAAATAAAAATTTATATATATAAATATATATATACATATATACATAGTTATATCTGTATATATATTGGGTATGTTTTAAGAATTTTTTCACATGAGCGCAGCTGTTCTGATCAAATGTCTGATTGGGAGGTAGAAGCACGGAACGAAGATAAAGCATTTTCAGCTCACAGCCACACTCTTCGTGCATTCGTGCATGTTTATTTCACTCTTAGCTTAACTTTGGCCTCAGAATTGCTGAAGAAAGCAGTTCTGAGGCTTGTTTTTTTCCCTTGATTGTGAGGAAGACTCTTCTCTGCCCTGGATTCTCACCAGCTGCACTAATCCTTCCACTCACACATGTTTACATCCTGCACCCTTCCTTGATCATGGCCTCCATCCTTCCAGCTTAAGAGGACTGGGCTGACTTTGCTGAGAGATTATTTCTGTTCCATCCTTCTCCCTGTTAGGGTGGGCTCAGTGCGCTTGACAGCGTGCTGGTGAGTGAGCTGATTCAGGTACCCATGCTGTGGTCTCCACTCCTGAAGTGAAGATCACCACCACCAGGTCAGCTTTGACTTCGTTATTTTTAAGAAACATTTTTTTCTGCTGTGTTTATATTAACACCAGCTCATTTTAGTCAAGATAATTTAGTGCAGTATTCCAACCTAGGAGGGCAAGTGCAGAATGTCAGATTTTCTACTTTTGACTAGAAAAATCTTCTTTACATAAAATAATTAAAATTACCAAAAAATTGGCGTGCTATGGCACATTCTCCTTCACGGTAGGAAGAAAATCTGGAGGGAGCAAAAAAATTATGGCCCATTATCTGTTGGGCCAACTAATTGCATTTCCAGTTGAGAACTGACCCTCTTTTCTCTAAGCCTAGGGAAAGAAAAATTCTACAGTAAGAACTGTTCAGATCACTACACGTAGGTCAGCAAGGGTAAATGCTACTAAACCCATGGATTAGAAAGAGTACCTTTAATGTTGTTTTTCCCCTGTTTGTGCTGTACTTTTTGTGCATAGTGTCCTTGTTGTGATCAGTCTCTCCAGGTGAATGTCCTGTTTGCTCAGCATTGTAGTTTGGCTTGTTAACTAGTCTGTTTAATATGTGCAAACCTTATTGATTTTGGCTTTGTTTCCTTTTTCTCCTGCTCTTACCCTTTCCCTGTGTTTCTGTGGAGAAGTTTAGGTGATAAAACTAGGGAAATAGGAAACCAGAAAAAGGCTTTGTTTTCACGAAGACAGTACCTGAAATCCACTTTCTGTGGAAAAATCCTGCCAGCAGAGCTGAGAACCCATCACTCTTCAGGTGCAAGGACTGATTGTTAAAACAGATGACCTAAATTCCCATGAACCAGCTATGTTTACTGCTTCACTCATTTCTGTGTCCTATCCCTGTCCCTATTACATCAGGACATTGTCCATTTCTGTTAAATGAAACTGCTACAGCCTGGGTTGGTACCATCTACTCCAGCAAGAACAGTGTTGGACTA